ACACACACACACACACACACACAGACACACAGTCACACACACACACGAACACACACACACACACACACACACATACACACAGTCACACACACGAACACGTTGCCCACCTGGACTGGGCCACGACTCCCACCACTTCTGCATATAAGTCCGCTACAATGTGCATGCTGCCAGTGTTGGGCCCGAGGTACCTGAACAAGAAAGAGGAGCAGAGTAAGCGATGCAACCAATCAGAGGACAGATCACAAGGGCAAGAAACCAGGCAAGATCTGAATGGTCAGATGCTGGAGCTGGTTCACGACTAAGAACATCTGCACCAGAACTGTATTTCTGCAAATTGGGTACCTGTACATCAATTATATACTCAGAACCTACCCCTCTTTGTATTTAAAGTGCTTAAATGCCACATTGATGACTTCCTGGATAAGGTTGTCCAGGAGTGGATGGAGTGGAATCTGGTCAGAAAAGGAAACAAAGTATAAAAATCTTTTTTTTTTTTAATTCTCAGGTCAGCAGTGCCTGCAGAAATTGGCTGTGTTTTCACACCGTTAATAAAATTTGGATATTTAACACCATCAAGTAAATAAACTATTGTTGCAACTTGCACTTCAAAAACATTTCTTAAATATTCTCTTTTAACCTTTTTCTCTTTACTTTTTATATATATTTCTCTATTTTTGGTATTATTTTGTTACCTGTCTAATTGTTGCACAGTCTGGAATAGTGGCAATTTCACTGCCGGTGCATTCATGCTTGTGACTAACAAAAATCTTTAATCTTGAAAATGTCACACTACATCACACTTCTGCCGATGTTTTACGTCCTCCTGGCTTTCGAACAGGACTGCGCGTGTATGAAATGAGGAGAATTACCTGTTTTAAGACTTCGATTAGCACTAGAGAGAAAATAAAATCGATGGCCAGATCCCGCCTCTCAAGCAAGTAATCCTTCTGCTGCTCATCACTGAAATTAAGCAAACGGGGGAAAGAGAGAGTGAGGGAGAGAAGGAAGGAGATGTACCAGACGTCTATTGGACCAGTGTTTCTCAAGCCAGTCTTCAGGGACCCCCAGGCTGTCTGTGTTTTTGCTCCCAGGGAATTGAGAGAGAGCAAAAACGTGGACCGTCTGCGGTCCTCAAGGACTGGTATCAGAAACACTGTATTAGAAATACATGTGCTGTTTGGCTACTTCCCACACACACAATAAAAGTGCCTACAGTAAGGGGCTGGGAAAGTAGCTGGTTCCTGCATAAATGGCTGATGCTTGATGTGCTGATAACAGCAACAAAAGGCCCTCATTACCGACTCAGTCTGAATAGCTTGAGTACATTAATGGTAACCTGACCACTGTATTAGAGCGAGTGAGAAACACAGCCCTCCGATTCAGGAGATGCTCACAAGTTGCGTGCCAGCCGCTGACATTGCTCTGTAGTGAGGGGTAGGAAGTAGCCAGCCCAGGTTAGATTAGGGGTTGGAACAAAGTAATTAAAGGGCCGCCCTGTTTTTCAGGAGCTGCTGATTGTGACAAGAAGAAAAGATTTAACTAAGAAAAGAAGCAGCAGTGCCGACAAACCATACGGCGTGTGGCCCAGTGGGTCAGTAGGGAAGCTTGCTGGGTCAAATCCCAGATTTGGCAGAGTGATTTCACCACTGGGTCCCTGATCAAGTCCCTTAAGCCCCATTTGCTCTCCCTCAAAAAAGTTGTTTTGGGTAAAAGTGTCTGCTAAAAAAATTGTAATGTGACAAAGTTTCTTGGATTGTAGTTAGGTGGTGAAGAAGGTGGGACTTAGTTGAGTGGTATCCCATCAATCTCGTCCAGGCATGCATGCTGTTGCAGGCTACCGGAGCCCCCTGTGAAGCTAGCTGCCTATCGACCACCTCTTTGTATTGCTGTCAGGAGTTACATACCAATCACTGCTTGATCAATGTCGAAGGACAAGACAACAATGGGGTATGAGTTACATCCTCACTTTTTGGACTTGGTGTTGGCTCTGGGTCGATACTCGTGGGACTCGTCCTCCAGTCCGTTCTGCCTCCGGTACCAGTCGAACAGAGTCCGCAGGATGGAGGGGAGGCAGTATTCGGCCAGTGAGCTCATGGTGCTGATCAACTGCAGAAACAGGATGAAGGGTGTTGATGATGTAGCGTGCACTTAAGGTCACATGATCAGTTCATAAACCTGCTGCCTAATGCCCGATCTATGCAGCAGACAGTATATGGCTTAATGGATCTGCAGCTCCTGTTCTTGTACCTCTGAACCCTGGTGCAGCACTTAGAATAATTGCTTGAAGATATAATAGAGTTACAATATGAGAAGTATGCGAGAAGGGTGTGTCAGCAGGTGCACATCAATGACACACAGGAAGTATGACTAGGCTGAATAGGGTGGATGTGTGGCACAGGCATATTATTAATTCCCAACCCCAAGGACTGCTGGGTCTTCACATACAGTCTTAGGCAGGCAAAGAAAATGATGTTTAAATTATCCTCGTGTTGGTGTAAAACTATGATATTATGCCGGTCAAAGTGTGTCAGCTTTGCCATTTCAGAACCTCTGCTAAAATCACCCCAGTATTTGCAGCGACCGTCCAGTGCAGCCATGTATTTTTTGACTTGGCCACCAGCTCACCTCATACAGCTAGTCAATCTGTCACTGACTTTTTAAACCAATTTATTGAATTATTTAATTGAGCTGTTGGTGAAATTTAACAAAATCGTGGAACGGCTGAGGTGCCCCTGAGGAGAGGTTTGTGAACTGAAGCGGTGTTCATCTAGCCATCCAACTAGATATCAGGAACTTTTTAGAAAACAGAAGAAACTATTACTAGTTTTGATTGTGTTACTCTTAATTTGCACATGTTCTAATGTTAAATTGTGTTTTTTTGTTCTAAGCCAAAGTACACTTGCTACCCAGATAAACAGCTTTAAACATTTCTTTGGACTGCCTAAAACTTTTGGACAGCACTGTATACTAGCGGCACTTTTCCACCACCACCAAGAACCGAGCCGCACCGCAAAGAGTCGGTCTTCCATTGTAAATTATACAAGCCGTACCAGAACTGTACCAGCACTGACATGTGAGTGAGAGCATGACCAAACTGAGCCGGCTGCGTCACCACCATCTGATTAAGTAAAATTGCACAGAAATATTGGTGATCTGCATCAATATGTGTGGATTATCAGAAGGAAAAAAGGTTATATTCTATATATCATTCATTATTGCTAGTATTGCACATCGTGATGTATTATTGCATTCCTGATAACAGGGAACTTGAACGTTTCCAGCTACCTACTTAATAAAACACCACAGAACCGCTGAATGGAATAGACTCGTAAAGCAAATTTACGAAAGCTAATGCTAATCCCAGTAGCATTTGATGCTAACATAACACGGTAATTCTAGAAATGCTAGCAGAAATTAGCACATAGTTAATTGTGATGTACACTGTGTGAGCAGAAAGTAAGTGTCTCTTCAGATTTATGCCACTGTTGCTGTCCAAGTCGCGCAGCCTGTGCTGAGCCCACCCTTCTGCAGTGGAAGACTGAAGCGAGCTGGAACTGAGATGTAACTAGTGACTCTTCACGGTGCGGCTTGGGTACTGGTCGGGTATGGCCTGTTTCCTGTATACCAAGTGGAAGAGCGCCAATATACACACACTTACCTGGTCAAACTGCGGATCCTCTCCCCTCTGCAGGGATTTTGTAATTGGCTTTTCCTACACAACAGAACAAAGAGGAACGTGTCAGGCAGGCACAGCTGTGGGCTCTTGGAGTGACCAAAGCATTTCATGACAATTAATACATACTTGCTTCATTGATGTCCCTTGATGTTCTTGCGCTCCCCAATGGTCATGTGACTCCCCCCCCC